CTTTTTTTGTTTTTGTTCAGTATTTATTTGATAAATTAAAGTACGAGATCATCTGATCATCCGATCTGATCAAATCTGATCTGATCTGATCATGATTATGATGTGGCCGTCTGATCTGATTTTGATCATTTGATCAAATGATATGTACGTTGGTGACATTTTATAAAATTGAATTTTTTGCTTCTGCTGAATCAAAATTCAAAATTAATTAATCATCAATTTTTCAACCTGGCAAAATCTTGTATTAAATCATAAAGGAAAAAAAAATCACAAATGATTGCAGCTTGATAGTTATCAATTGATAGTTATCAATAATTCAGAAGAACAAAAATCAATTCGTTAAAAGGTGATAATTAAATGTACTTTCGTCGATGATAGAAACATAGGATATCAGTGCTGATATTTGCTTCTACTTCCAACTGATAAGATAACGGATGCTCTAGCTGATCGTTGATCTTTTCAGTGTAATATTTTATTTGTCACACAAAAAAGCGGCTTTTAATCGAACGGCTTACAGGTATATTCTTGTTGTATACTTTAAAATAATTCAAATTTTAAGGAAAATCACAAAATTATTCTAGAATAAAGTTTTTCCCATCTCATTAAAGAGTTATTACCATAGAAATTGCATTTTATCAGAAACAAATCTTAGTCTCATCCCTCATTAATGGATTGGATAATTAATATTTTGGTGATGAATTTAATTTATCCTTAAATTGAACATTTACTTTGATTTTATCCTTATTTAGATTTACTGAATATATCGGTTTAGGTAAATTTGACTTAATTACTTATTGGTTGGGAAGAAAAAATAAAGGTAAAAATCTTTTGGAAAGAAAAATAAAGATAAAAATCTTTTGCTTGCTTTTATGAATTTTGAAAAATCATTCTGTATTTTTTTTTTTTTTGCCTCAACAAATAAAAACTGACGCATTTCGGAGCTTACGGAATGATAATACTTCATATATTATCGCTTATTTCAATTGGAATAACAATTGCGACAGATGAATTAATTTTCATCCAAATTGTATGTTTTATTTCAATTCATTTAATTAATTATCGTTGTTAATTAAATTAAAATATTTTATAAAATCAAACATATTGCACTTCTTGGAAATTCATTCTTAAATTGTTTCATCCATCAGGAAAATTGCATAAGACTAAGAATTTAGTTAAAGAGTAAATTCTCAGCCTATAGATATTATACTATCAATTTGTGCAGCAATAATTTGTGAAATCTTAATAACACTAATTATTATATTTGGTATTGATAAGTGATTAGCTTAGTTTACCTCACATATTAGCCTGAGCTAGTTATTAGTTGTATATCCAATATCTATTAGTTTGTATTTTTCTGCCAAATTTTTACTCGTTCAATTCCCTTCTTAGAATTTTCAGGTTTGGCGACATGGTGACCGTGCTCCGACATTTGCATATCCAACCGACATTCATCAGGAAAAAGCATGGCCATACGGTTGGGGTGAACTCACAGAGGTTAAAGAATATATCAAACAATTTTTCTCAAATTTTTTTTCTTTTCTAATCTTAAAATCAGAATATTATTAGGGTTAATTAGTAAATATAATTGAAATTTAGCTTGGAATGAAGCAGCAATTCGTCCTTGGACATCTTATTCGACAACGATACATTGAAAGAGATTATCATTTCTTATCATATAATTATAAACCCAAAGAAGTTTGTTTTATCAAATAAGTTTTGATTAAAACTATTTCCTGGTGTTTTATTCAAAGGTGAATTGATTGAATTAGAATAATTTACAAGTTTTAATAATAAAAATAGAAATTCATAAAGTAATTCAGTAATAAGTGAATATTGTTTTTAAATTAGAAAAGTTAATTACATTTAATTTTATAATCATTAAAAAGTCAAAATTGAAATGCACCGAATTCTTTTCTTTTTTTAATTTTAATTCAGATAAATCATTTCTTATAAATCAATTGATTAACATCTGCCATTTTACTAGCGGAATTATGAAGCCTTTATAGTTGTACATCAGAAGTACCGATGTAAATCGAACATTAATTAGTGCAATGGCTAATTTGGCTGGCATGTATCCTATAGGAGAAGCTGGAAAGGATTACCCAAAATTTAAGCAATGGCCATCTCATTGGACACCAATTCCTATTCATACTGTCGAAAATCAGGAAGATTTTGTAATTATTAAAATTTGAAAAAAATTTTTCAATTTCTATTTTTGCTATTTTAAGATAATTTTAAATCTATCACGCGAGATATGTGATTTCTTTTGTCGTTTTTAAACTGACATAACAATTTCATTTTGAAAAAAAAACAAATTTTCATTTCCTTTGAAAATGGTTCGATTTTAAATTTTGAGACTTTGCGTTAAATTTCTAAATTGCACGATATTGGATGTATAAATTATAAAGGAAAAAGGGATAAATAATTCTTTAATGTGAAATTTATGTAATTTTTAAAAATTTATGAAAATAATTTTTAAGGTAGGGAACGTTTTTAGCCGATGTCCTCGTGCCGATCAATTAACAGCTGTTATTCGTTGCAGTAAGCATTATCGAAATGTAGCTAATGAAAATAAAGTAATTCATTATATATATGTTTTTTTTTACTTTTCCGAAAACAAACTTCAAGAAAAAATTCCTAAAAGTTTGCAAAAAAGCGAAAAAAATATCAAGCAAAGGTTGAATTTCAATTATTGTTAATTCAAATTTAATATTTCTTGTTCTTTTATCCAAACAAATTGACGAACAAAAATTTGCATAAAGCTCTAAAATAGTATTGATCAAAAGTCAAAACTTCGCGATAAAATTATTAAAAAATTGGTGGGAAAAAAAAATGTTGCCTAATTTGGCAATGGCAATTTATTATTATGTCACTCATTTACTAAATTATTTTAATTAATAAATATTACAAACTTTGTGTACATAAATAAGCAAAAGATATAAAAATGAAATGAATTTATACTTATCAAACTTTTTTGTAATACTACAACTCTTTCTTGTTTAATGTTTAATATCGCCTATTATTCATCTTGTTTTTAGGAATTTTTTAATTATGTAAGCGAAAAAAGTGGTATGAATGTGAATTTGGACAATATACATACCATTAATGACATTCATTATATTGAGGTTTAACGTCTTTTTTTTTTTTTTAATTTTGAATTCTTTTCATAAAATGTATTTATTATGTTTGATGATTATTAATATCTGTAAATCACGAAGTATTTGCTATTATTAAATTATAATTTTGTATATCTGTTAAAAGATGATATGCAATTGAACTTAATTAATTTAAAAATATTCAAGGTATGATTGTGAAAGGTGTAATATAAATAAATGGAATGTTGTAAGGATTTTAAAAGTTAATGAATTTTATTGCAGACGTTGCATAATATGTCACAACCATCTTGGATCACCAATGATGTTTCAAATAAACTGCGTAATTTATCGATAATTGCCAATGAATTTTTATATGGTATTTCGGTACCATATCTACCGGAATTGATTAAACTTAGGGGTGGTAAGACGTTGTTGATATTTTTCTAAATTTTCATGAATTCTAAGCCTGAAATCTAGCTATATAGATAAGTTGTAAAATTATTGTTATTATCAACGTTCTTATTTTGGATTTCTTTAATACATTTACGTATGTTCATATTTGAGGTGAAGTCATCTATAATTTGAATATTTGAAGTGAAGTCATCTATAATTTGAATATTTGAAGTGAAGTCATCTATAGTTTGAATATTTGAAGTGAAGTCATCTATAATTTGAATATTTGGGGTGAAGTCATCTATAATTTGAATATTTGAATTAATAATAAGCTACGCTGAAGATTGTCAATAATTTTATTGCATTTTTAGCAATCAAATTTTGTGCAGTTTTCAAGCTCACCATTAAGTTGAATTGAAAAATTTTAATTTAATAATCCTAAAACTTTGAACAAAATATTGATTTAAGTCGCAATAAAAATAAAATCGTTTCCGGACTAAGCCTTATTTTGCATTTTAATACTTCATTACTAGCAGTTCACAATGACATTGTCTGCAGTAACAAATGAAAGGAGTGATCATTACTAAGAAAGTAACTTATTCATAAATTAATTAGAAATATAGCAATGAACAGTTAGTGTAAAGACATGCAGGGTATGAGTGTATGAAATTAAATTATGGTTCTGATAAAAAAAAATATTTAATTGAGCAATGATAAAAATAAAAAAGATATTGATAAAAATGATAAAGAAATAAAGAAAAATATTTAATAAAAATATTTCATTGAACAATTAGTGCCAAACATTATTTATTATTTGCTAACAAAAATCATTTGATGCCTTCTGAAATATTTGCTTATAAGATGCTATTTTAGGTAGTTTATTGAAACTTTTTTTGGAAAATATAAGCCAGAAGAAGGAGTGCTTATCAAATCCGGAAAATTCAAGCTGTTCATGGATTCAACAGCGTAAATATTTTGCTCTTTCAGCTGTACGTATTTTATTTATGTTATATTATGAATAATTTTCCGGAGAATTTCCAAAATAATATCCTGAAATTTTACAGTTAAGAATAGAGAAATTTTCTAAATAGCATGAAATTATTCAGTCAACTTCCAATGCATATTAATAACATAGATGATAGGAAGGAAAAGTTGTCATAACCAAATTGTCACATTCTTAAAATTACTTTACTATCATTCGAATTCTTTTTCATCTATTACCATTCTTTTTAAAATGTATGTAACAGCACGATACAACAATTGCCGCTTTATTAGCTACACTTGCTGATGAAAAAATTCTAAAGAAAGGTTTACCGCAATATACCGCTTCTGTTGCAGTAGAATTGTGGAAAAAATCCGATATAGGATTCGCAGTAAAGGTATCTCTCTCCTAAGTTATTTCTCTTTTATTTAAATTTTTAGAATTATTTTCGCATATTATTTCAACAATTTTATAATTGCTTTTTTTTTTTTTTTTTTTTATTGTTAGCATATTTATACAACAGCTCTATTGCAAAATTACTGATATCGCTTCACTATTAATTCCTACAACAACTTTTTTGTTTCGTACTTTTTGCGCTGCTAAACATATTTTAATTTAGTTAAAATATTGATAAGATTTCTCTATAATTAACTTATTCAGAAGTTTGATTAATTCTAACCCTGTTTTAAGCAAACATGCAAGGAGTTATAGCATGAAATATCAATTTGTCGAAATTATAATCTGAAATTTTAAACTTAACTCTTATTACAGATACTCTTTCATGAAGCATTCCATTATCCGTATCGTGCAATAACACGTTTTACAAAAGGTTGTCCATCGGATAGTGATTTCTGCCCATTGAATGTATTCCTGAAGCGTTCAAAAATTTTCCTACCTGATGACATTAAACAAGAATGTTTACCAAAGAAGGAAATGAATAAATTAATTTCTAAAATATGTAGTAATACTGTAGTTATTTAATTTTAAATGATTTTATATTGTTCAATATCGTTGCATGAAATAAAGGAAATTATTATTATTTCGTCAAACTTCATGCGGGAATTAAACTAATTACAGACTAAATATACGAACTAATTTATTACTTCATATTTCCATCAAGGATTATTACACGGCTTGTTAATCTTTTTTAGCCTTCTATACACTATTTATTTCGATTTACTGTTACCTCATTAATACTCAATAATTTATTATAGTGGAAGAAAATTTGTAAAGGTTAAATTTACCTCAAATTCTCTTTCCTAAAATAAGATTAGCTCCGTCCCGTTTACCAGCTATTTCTCATTTTTTTTTTGGTTGTTTCACAAGTCTTTTAACACAAATATTTTTCGCATTCATTAACATTCTTCTTCATTAGTTCGGCATATAGCAAAAAGAAGATTGAATGCTAAATTCAAATTTGAATTTGATTATGAAAAACCTAAAACACAACTGTTTATTAAGATTTTCAGAATTCAAAATTTTCCGCAGCTTATTTAGCTCGAGTGGGTAATTTTATCCTTTCATCCAGAATTCTATGTTGAGTGTCATTTTTTGAAAATTAAGATTTCCAGAATTCACAAAGACTGTGTTCAAAAATTCATTCATAGTCATCATTATCATATCATTGATGATATGAACATCAAACTTTTCAACTATTAATTTATCATAGGGTGACTATTATTTACCATTTGCTGCTGTGCAAACACAAATTCAAGCACTATAGCAAACAGCAGATGGAATTATAGACACTAAAACTGGCATTAATGTTTGCTCGATAAAATCTGAAATATGTGTAAACCAAAATAACTGAAAAAAACGTTGTTGATCTGCAGTGGAAGTATTTTCCTATCCCAACAAATCTAATGATTTTCGTGTTCCGTTTTAGATGTGGTAAAATTAATATTAAATTAAAAGCTTTATTAGAAATGAAGTTCAGAACACGTGGATCAAAACGATCAAAACGTTTTATTAAACTTCATCCTTAAAAAATTATCATTTATTCCATATAAATTATAAGCAAATGCGATGAATAAGCTTCCTTTGATTTCTTTTTTTTTTCTTACAAATCTTTTGAGGATCAGAATTATGAAAATATGAAATCTATTAAAAAACTCTTTTGGATATCTGATAGTTGAAAGTTATCATGATTATTCCTTCCTATACCATTAGTAATTGAAAATTATCACCATGATTCCCTCTGTTTTTCATTGATAACGTGGTGTAAAAGTAATCATCATATTAACTTCCAATAATTAATCAAGTATAATATTATTATCATAACACCGTGACCACAATATCGCAAGCATAATACTGTTAAGCATAATACCATGACCATAACATCGCAATACCGTAACCTTAATACCACTTTTGCCGTAATTATACTCGCATGAATGCTGTATAATCACAATTTTAATCTGTAACTAATGTTTCGGCTTTATGACTGATAGGAATTTAAAGTTTATAAAATTCGCATACCTTTTTCATTAATTTTCGACCCATTATCAATTTTTCAATTGCATTGATTAATTGATTTGTAAATTTTTCTTTGGGTTATTATCCATTTGATCACAATTTTCTACCAATCAATCGAATGCTTCCTGAAAAAGCAAACAAAAAAAACACTTCTTTGCATTCAAATGTATTCAAAGATATTTTAATATATAACATGTAATTTGCTTTAAGATTGGTAACTATTTCCTGAAAATATTGATGGAAAATTTTTGGGAACTTTTAGCAATTAGAATCATCGAGTATTATAATTCAAAATCGTATTATCAAATAGTATAATAATTTGGGTTAATAAAATATATAAAAATGCATGCTTCAAGTTTGATTTTTTTATCATTAGTTTTTAAAAATTTAAATTTTTTATGAGAATTTATGGGAAATTTATGAGAATTAAATTTACGAGAATAATTTATGAGAATTTATTAAATTTATGATTCATGACAATAAATCTTTATGAGAACTGGAAATAATTTTCCGCAATTTACCTTTCTCTATACTGTAAATAGTTTTAGCAACTGTAATATTGCTAGATACTAATGGTATGTTACATTATATTGAATCCATTCCGAAGATCTTCATTAATATTTATTCCTTTTTTTTTCTACCTTACTTTTAAAAGAAATATCACTGTGTTTACCTTTTTCTTTTTCTTTTTTTTACTTACTATTGTTTAACAAAATCTGTCATAAAATTTTCGGAAGAAAGATCAATGTCATCCATTTTACTCTCTCCTCTCTTTCCCCTCTTATATTATCTAGTGTATTTCTTCAAATTTGTTGTTTGATAAACTGGAAAAAATGGGGGACAATGGGGGACAATATGTTTTAAAGAAAATTAGAAAAAGTGATAAGATTTGAAGATGAATGATATAAAAATATTGTTAGTAAGGGAGTAACGGTTGATTTTGCAGATTCAGCAAACAAACAATCAGAACTGTGATTAAAGGAATAAATAAAATTCGAAAAAAGCATTATGGTAAATTGAGAGATGGTATAGATTAAAAGAAATAAGAGAACAGCGCAAAGGATTTGCTCAAATAGCAAAATAATTATGACCGTTTGTTAATAATGCTTTCATTGTAAAATTTAATAAGGAAAGAACTTAGAAGATGTCAGAAGAATTTTAAGTTTTGCAAGCATTTTCGAGATCTTTCAAGCAGCTTCGAAGCATCGTTTAGAGCTAGTGAAATTAAAAAATTGATTCACTTGACTGAAGGTGTACTGTTTGGAAGAAAGCCCAAAATGGATGAATAATATGTCGAAAATGAGCTAAGATTATATTCTATGGAAAATTTCGGAAAATGTTTATTATAGAAAATTCCAGAAAATATTTACTACGGAAAATTCCAGAAGATATCTGCTACGGGAAACACCAGAAAATATTTATTATGAAAAATTCCAGAAAGTATCTATTATAGAAAATCCAAGGAAATATTTACCACAAAAATTCCAGAAAATATTTGTTATAGAAAATTCCGGAAAATATTTATTATGGAAAATTCCAGAAAATGTTTACTATGGATAATTCCGGAAAATATTCATTATGGAGAATTCCAGAAAATATTTGCTCAAGAAATTTTAGAAAATACTTATTGCAGAAAATTCCGGGAAAATATTTATTAAGAAAATTCCAGAAAATATTTACTGTGGAAAATTCTGGAAGACATCCATTATAGAAAATTTTGGAAAACAGTAAATTTTCACAGTAAATATTTTCTGGAATTTCCTATAATAAATATTTTTTTTAGAACTTTCCCTGGTCATTCAAAAAATCAAACTATCAAATTCATTTCGAGTATAAATTTGATTATTAGATTGAAATTGTAAAAGAAAAAAGTTTATGAAATTAGCAGGAATAAGAGAAAATATCAAATTTCACTTGTAAGTTCTAAATGATATCATTGCTATGATTTGAAGAAGAAAGTGGAAAAATATATGAATCAAAAGGTAAAATTAAATTAAAATCGAAACTATTAAATTTTTTTCGAAAAATTCTTTGTACTGATATAAATAAATTTCTAAAGTTTTTTTCTCCTCTTTAAGTAATATTTTACAGTCCTGTTCTGTTTAAATTATTCCTCCAAAAAACTTGCTTTATTATTTAAATTTAAAGAATTATTAAAAATTGCTAAAATGGAATGTTATTCAATGAATAATACTGCACATCATATAATTAAGAGTTTTCTTTTCCCTCAAAATATCAAATATTATGAATTAATTAGTTAGAAGAGGATAATAAAATTTATGCATTTTCAATCGATAGATTGATATTTCCACGAAGTTTTGATTTTGATGAATTTTGAAGTGTTATTTTACTCACTATTATTATGTTTACTTTAAATTTTGCATTTAAAATGTAAATGTATAATTCGAATATTAATTAATCTACCTGAATTATGCAAATTATTGTGGATAGAGTGCTTGAAATCTACTATTTTATACTGTTTAAAAAGAAAAAACGAATAAAAAATAACCATTTTTAATTGTTTATTCTTTTGTTAACTTTACTAATAAGCATGTTCTTTTGTTGAACTCTGTTTTTGTATGCTCTTTTAACCTTACATTTTCTAAATTATATTACTGTATTTTTCATTAATTTAAATTTTAATAAATTGGAAATCAAAATTTTTTAATTTTTTCTTTCTTAATTATTTGTCGACCCACAAAATGGATTCTGCTAAAATACATAATTTGTTTCATTTCATTTCATTTCAATTTCACATTTCATCCACATTTGAATTAATAAATTTAGATTAGAAAAAAAGAAAAAATGATTTCTTTTTATTATCTATCACCCTTATTACATTATTACAATGATTCCTTTTTATGCTATTAATAATAGAAATTTATTACAATAATTCTTTCTTAATGCATTGATAATAAGAAATTATTACAACGATTCTTTCATAAAGCTATTAAGAATGATAAGTTATCATAATGATTATTCCTTCCCATATTACACTATCTCATAAGTTATTCCGAGTGTTTATATGATATTCTTTGATGGTAGATTGCTTTTATAATATCATTGCAATAATCAATCATTAATGTTTGAAAAAGACACATAAATATCATTTCTCTAAACAAATCATTGTCACCGAAAAATTACCCATTTTTTCAAAATGATTCAATCAAAATATCTTGGAATTGATAATACTTCTGAATATTTTAATCACTCATAATCATTCGATAAATGATAAACAAGTATAGTTAATTTGCATTATCACAACGACTTATTATAAGTTTCACCAATATCGAATATCTGAAGTGCATTAAAGTTAATGAAATGTTGACCATTACTGATGGTTACTACTTAACCTATATGTCAACAATATTTAGTATATTAGTTTCAGGGTTAAAAAAACGAATGAATAGACCATATCATATAAGAAAAGAAAAATTATTTCGAAATTATATTGTAATGTGAGTTATGACAATTTGATTTTATTGTGACAGATGACATCGAAGCGAAAAGTAAAACCAATAATGTAAGGGATGAAAATGTTGGAAATATTGGCTTTAATTTTGATCTAATTGTTTCAAAAATGTGAAAGTACAAAAGATTCTCAAACATTTTTGTAAAAGTAATCAATCTCTTAAATAAACATTTTTGAATTTTTATTCAATTTCTTTATAAATCATGCATTTGTTTTTCATTTTTTATTAACAAACATTAGAATTATTCTTCACAATTAAACAATTTTCTTAATCAATTAAGAAATTATTATACATAATTGCTCTAATTAGATCTCATTATCAACAATAATTTAATTCCCTTATCACTAGTATATCTAAGCTTCATTTAATTCATTATAATATTAATAGAATCAAACTGCTTATAATGCTTAAAGATTGTTTAATTAAATGTTAACTATGTCCATATATCCTTATTACTTATAAATATTCGTAAGATGATATAATTATTAGGCGAACATCCTTGTAACAATATGTAATTATCGTATAAGCATATATAAACTTATAACAATATATACTTATTGTATGAACATTTCTGTAACAATATATACTTATTGTATGAGCATTTTTACAACAATATATACTTATTGTATGAGCATTTTTATAACAATATATACTTATTGTATGAACATTTTTATAACAATATATTGTATGAGCATTTTTATAACAATATATACTTATTGTGTGAGCATTCTTACGACGACATGTAATTATTGTATAAGTATTCTTACGACAGTATGTAATTAATGCATTTATCTATGCGTGTGTGTATGTGTGTGTGTGTGTGTGTGGTGGTGTGTGTGAGTGGGTGTATGTGTGTGTGTGTGCGTGTGTGTGTGTATGTGTCTTGAAACAACTGCAGTTCAAACAATTGGCCAGTTCTTTTTTTTTCTGGTTTTATTTCAAGTCCTTTTTTAGTTTTGTCATACGATTCTGCAAATACTGTCTTACACCTTTTTTCCTTTTCTGAAATAATGTACAAATTTCAATTTCCCTCAGTTAAATTGGGTCTTACAGGGAATGATTGTTTGGGGATGAATGTTGCTTGTTTTGGGTTGTCCTATTGTGATGGTGTTCCCAAATAATTGTCGCGTAATTTTGCTCATTGCATTTAAGCGGTGTTCATCGTTGTTTGGTGAACTGTAAATTTTAGTTGAATTTTAAAAGTTTTAAATTAAAAAGAAAAGAGAAATTGTAATTGAGTTATTTCAAATAGGGTTTTGGAACGTTAGGAGCGGTTGTTACGCTACGTAACCGATGAATGGGTTCGCCAATGAGCTCAATTCGTTGTCAGATGACGAGAACGAGGCTAAGGTTCGTGCTTTAATTGGCTTTGGCTCTGTTTTTTAAATTTGTTGAAATCATGTGAATTGTTGTATCTAAAATATTTTAGTAATTAATAGAAAGAATAGCATTATCTTTGGTTATTTTTATTCCTGCAATTCCTATTTTATATAAACCATATCACAGCTAATATTCTATGAGTTCAGTTGTCCAGCATATTAGTTGCAGAACTGAGCAAAAATGAAAAATAACAAGTTATGTATTTCATTTCAAATAAAGTTTTTTATTTAATTATTTAACATTTCAGGAGATTCTTGAAGTTGATATACGTACTGAAATAATTCATGTAAGATTTCCATCCCTTTCGCTACATATTAGCATCGCTGATCTGTTATGCTTAGCCGAAGGTGAACTACTCAATGGTACTATTATTGATTTCTACTTAAATCATATCAGATGCCATTTGATACAAGATTCGTAAGTTTTGTTCATTTCTTCCCGTGATATTTTCGAACACTTATAACTCTAATATATTTAACAAGTCACTGCAATCCTTTCCATTTAATTCGTGCAATGATTTTATAGGCGGAATTACGGTATTCCAATGTATCCATTCCCTTTTTCTTGAGCTAAAAATAGATGGAATCAAGCAGAGACAAACTTGGTTGCAGTCTTTTCAAATTTTGGAGTGAAAAGCGACCCAAAATTTCTTAAATTTTAGTGTTATTCAACTGTGAAATCTAGGCTACTTGGCTTATACTTTTTTTTGAACTGACTTTTTCTTGGAGATCTCATCTGTTGTTGTGAGCGAAATTAAGTGTCATCATTCTTTATCTTGTGATAGTGACAAGCCATATCTACGGTAGCAATTCTAATATCAACTGGATAAAACGAAATGAACTACTGTTGTAACATGTAAAAATATCCATAATTTTCGTGGTGAAATTATCTTTATTATGTTGATGTCTTTGGTAATCTAAGATGATCTTACAGTAAAATTAAGCGTTACTATCATGAACTTCTTTCTGTTGAGTTACCATATTCTTTGCATGCAAAGGATGCAATATACTGATTGATCTAATTGGTTTTTTCCTTTTTTTTTCAAGTACTGTTTTGTAGAAACTTGCGAATGCACATATTTCCATCGTTGTTCTGGGGCAATTTGAAGTCGTGGTTCAGGAGCTTAAACCTTGACGGGGCTGAAGGGTTTACAATGACCGGAATTGGTAGCACTGATGAAGTAAGTTTTGAGAAGTTACCACTTATTTGTAAGGATTTAGTATATTTTTCCATTATATTACTTTCCCCGCTCACTTATATCTGTATTTCATTCTCATTACTCTTCGTAACTTGGTTTCAAAGAAATTATATTCAGTCTAGTACAATTTATCTGTGTCGCACTCTTCAGACTTATTAAGTAGTATTCTTCCCATAAAAGGTTGTGGGTTCAATTTCAGAGGTGCTTTATGAATGTGCCTGTATTTCCAGGCATTCTAAAGGCATTTGAAATATATTTTGCCATTGAAAATATATTTCTAAATCTTTGTCGCTATCGGTGTAGTGAATTCGATTCAGTCTTCAAGCACTTTGTTGGAAATCGTCCAAGCAAATATGTGATAAATGGTTAGTTAAGTTCCATCTTCTTTTTAGGTCTCGAATCCAAGTCGAATTCAATATTGGCTTGAAGATGAAGATATATTTGATGCAGATTTTCTGGTGATCCCTGTTAACGAATACAATCATTGGTTAGAGTCAGAATTTATTGAATATTCAAAGTAAAATTTCCAACTTTTTCGATTTGAAAACAAAAAGATCATCACAATCATTTTCATGACCGTCTTTCTCTGTTAGGTAAAAATAATGTTGATTCTGCTATAGCAGGAAGTGTAATACTTCTTTAGAGGCTTTGTACGCCAGATAATGTGCAAACCTTGTTGTGTCTTGTGGTACTTTCTATTTGTTGCATATCTTCAGAAAGATCTCGCGATGTCCTTCTTATCAGGACTTTAGATTTGGTGATAAACAAGAACTTCATTTCTCTATTCTATCACCTTCTGTATAGATGAATTAATTTTCCATGCCACTGAAATTCATCCATTTCAGGTCTTTAACAATAATCTCTCTGTCATGTTTAACAATGCAGTTATCCATTTCCGAACCTCTTATAATAATTTTTGATTCACAGCAATCCGTTGAACTGCCCTATACAGAAGATATTGTAAATATTCTCAAAACTTTCCTTTTGGTGAGTGCATTTTATTAGTATTCGCTGTGCTTTTTTGCTTCCAAAAAATTTGCACCGTGTTTTCCGGGATATATAAAACTTTTTTTCCTTGATCTTACATTAAGCTTCCTCGCATATGCGTTACTACTTTCTTGTGGTAGGTAGGACTTCTTGGTATTGGAGTTAGTTGAATTTGCTAACATGATTATCAAAAAAAACCTGCTAGATTCACATAGAAGAAAAGTTGGTACTGACTAATTATATTTGGCAGCTGAGTTACTCTAACAGAAATCACTCGCTTCAGCGAGCTTCCGAATTGAGTGCACGGAAGGAAAATCTGCTGACAAAGCAAATCAAAACGGTGATACCGAAGAATTTACCCCAGCAAGAAAATGATGTCGACTGCGGTTTGTACATACTGGAATATGCACAGCGTTTCCTCCTCCAACCTCCCATCAAAGTATGTTTTTTTTGGAATCCGCTCAGGCATTTTAATTATATAAACCGTCCCGTTATTTAATTTGAAAGTAGTGTTAGTCTTTGGAGGTAGGACATCCTTATGGTAGTCCTTGGGCGTCTTTCTCTTCTAATCTTAACTTATTTCGTCATTTTCCTAGATAAATACTCCCAGGAAATAATTTTTCATGTGTTTGTGGCTCAGAAAGAACTATTTTGTTTTTTAGGACCTCACATTATATGGTGATTTTGATTTCACATCACACTATCCGGATTTCACCATAATCTCAAAACGCCGAAGTATCCGCAATGCTTTATCAACACTCTGTGCCGACAGCAGCAGATGGTCACAGTTCTTCGATGTTGAGCAGTAAGCTATTTATAAAATCGCTTATAATTTTATGTATGAGGCCAGGAGTTAAGTCTTATCACAGTAGACATTTAAATTGATTTTTTGGAAATGTAAACATTGATTATGTAATTCTCTATTTCGATTCCAAAGTGATAATGTCGTTTCCTCTTCCATGCATTATTTTTACTAAATTCATTTGTATATTATTTCAGATGTGACACAGTTTTGGACTGGAAGTAATAATTTCAAAACGGGTGGTATTTATTCACTACATTTCTAGCGGACTTTATGTCTTTTAATTCGTTCATATTTTATTTCACCGGTGAAGGACTTTTTTATGCTTAGATTGTGAGTTACAAACGTGAGCTAGATTGTCGTCGGGTATAGTTTACTGCGTTCATTCGACTTCTCTTTTGTCCTTGTTTTTATTTTTGTTTTTTCTGATTTCACGAGAAATCCCGCTATCATTATCCTAGTTTCTCGGCTTATTTAGGTGAAGTTGAATATATAGTGTAAAGATGTAAATGTAATCTTGGAGATAAGCGAGACAGATTGGAGATCACAGGTTTATTATTTGTGTGATTATGTACTTACTACCAAAACGGTTATTTATCGGTACACTGTAAATAGGTAACTTTTTTTTCATTATTTTTCATCAGATGTATTTTTAGTACCAATAATAGTCACAACGATGTTGTGATAATGGAAATAATAATCATAATAATAATAATAAAGCAAAATGGAAATGAATGAGGGACATTGTGTTACTACCTCATACATTCTTCTTCGTGGATTAGGATCCGAGCAGTAAAAAACGGCAACTTTATACCAGAACTTCTGGCGAACCGTGCGAGTAATATTGATGGCAATAGTTTGCTCCCTTATTCTTAATCAGATTTTGGCTTCTTATCGTCTCTTTTTGCTACACTTGTGCTCTGTACTTATTCTTTATTGAGGTCATTAGTTAGGATTTGAGCACAAAGTCCCGAAACAGGCTGCTGTCAGAAAATATCTGGAAGCTTGTACAAGCGATGTATTTAAATATACCTTTGAAGCAGATCACAGTTATCGTTGATACGATGCTACATTTTAGTTCATGAACGATAGACGCAAACGAAATCATAATAAATACTTTGATATATAATACTGAGATGCAATTAGTTCAAAGGACGTTGTAGTTGAATGCAAAAGACGAAAAATATATACAAAGTGCAAAAAAGTGATGGAAAATTCTTGAAGGCAAATGGATTACAAAGATTTTTTTTTAAGTTAAGGTTAAAAGCTATTAGAAACACTTTAGATTTTGATGAATAATGAGATCAGGAGAGCTAAGGATGACTAAGATCTTTTGGTTTTAGAGTTACACATGCCCTTTGGGTGATCATCATCACAGATTCACAAATTTTCCCACTCATTTTTACAGTGAGTGGAGAAACTGTAAAAAAATTTTTTTTCCTCATATAATTATGAATACGACAATGACGTAGATCGTCAAGGACAAGCTGTTACATAAGAAATGACTTCGAGAGAATGAAGCATAATGTCTGAATGATAAAGTATGGTAATGTAATACTTCATGTCTTTGTAATTAAGTGAGAGATACTTCTAAATTCTTTCACGATAACAGGACATAGTAATAGATACAATCGAGGATTAGGAGCGTTTCTCATATACTTTTTTTAATGTTTGACATAGAATGGAATTATTGCTTGTTATAGAAAATAGAGTTTAGTCTTTCATCATCATGCCATCATCATCATGTCATAAGTTATCATTCTAGACAATGAATTAGTCCTGTTCATCTTAATGTACTCTAATTCGCGATTAAACGGGATTCCGAAGGTTTCGGCACTAAGCAGGTTGTTTTCCTTTGGGTGATACTTATATTCGAACAACAGAAATTAAATTTGCCAGAAATATGCTTGATTCATTCAGTTGTAGCAGCTTTCATGAATGTCGTTAAAGCTGATGATTCTGTTAGCTCACTATCTACCAGTGTATCTGTTTCCTCACGCAGCGCTATAACACCAGCAGTTACCAAATTATAAATATTTAAATTTCGACGGAATTGTCGTTTTATCTCATGCTCATTTATTTTCGGAAAAAACATGATCTTGCTATTTTCTTATTAGTTTTTTTACATGTTTATACACCCAAACCAACAAAGGGAATTCGATTATCCCATTCACTGCGGGGTATTCGCAAGTTAGGGTACTTCTACTGGCGAAAGAGAAAAGTTCATGGTGCCATTTTTCAAAATAATTATTAATCATTCTGTGTGAA